CAACTGCAACACTGTGAAGCAGGTGAGCAGCATTGTCCATAATCGACTGATAACTGGACAGCATCCCCCCCCCCCCCCCCCCGCCAGTGTTGGTATCATCCAGTTCCTCCCCAAAACCCAACCAGGCCCCAGCGCACAGCAGTGAAGAGGTAGAAGAGGTAGACACTGGCTACCACAGACTCATAGACCATCTGCAGCATGGTGTTGTAGTTGCCCCTTCTTCTACAGGGCAGTTCTTTGACCAGTCCAGTTTGTTAACTAGGTGGACACCTAGATGCTTGTAATCCTGGACAATTTCCACCTCCTCTCCCCGAATGGACAGGCGGGCTCTTAGAGACCTTGATCTTTTCAGGTCCACTACCAGTTCCTCTATTTTACAAACATTTTGCTGCAGATGATTCTGGTCACATCAGTTGGCAAAATTGTTCACCACCCTCCTGTACTCCATCATGTCTCTGTCCCAGATACAACCGATTACTGCTGAGTCATTGGCAGTTTCTCTGTAGATGGCAGGACTCTGCGTTGCGCTTGAAGTAAGTGGTGTACTGGTTGAAGAGGAAGGCAGACAGGACTAGCCCCTATGGACCTTCTGTGCAGCCATGCACCTCATCAGATACATCAGAAAGTACTGTGGGTGTCAAGTCATGTAATTCATAATCTATACCACCAGGGGGGTGTCTACCTTCATAGCTGACGGCTTACTCTCCAGTAGGACTGACTGGATGGTGTTGAATGCAATGCAGAAATAAAAAAAACATGATCCTCAAAGTGGCTTATCCAGGTGGGATTAAGCACAGTGCATCAGGTAGATGATGGTATCATTGCTCAAGGGCCAAGAATTTGATCATACATAGTGCCCTATGTCACCCTAGATAGGCTACAGGCTACCTAGGTCCAGGAGAAGCAGTTAGAACAGTGTTACCCAATCCGGTCCTCGGGGTCCCACAGTCGGGCCATGTTTTTGCTCCCTTCCAGATAGTCAGAAGCTGGGAGGGAGCAGAAACGTGGACTGTCTGTGGGTCCCCAAGAAACAGATTGGGAGACTCTGAGTTTGAAGATGGATGGATGGATCGATGGATGGTTGATCTCAAGCCAATATTCTCAAACATTCAACTGGGAACACGTGAGTCACAATTATAGCTGAAAGGTGTTTTACTTTTGCACTTTGACAATTTTTTTGACAAACTTCAAAGCAAACATTCTCAGACTCTTTAAAACAGCTTTGTCGTACACAGTACATTTTACACAGTTTCGTAGTAGGGTTAAAAATAATATCTTTTACTGGGATGGAAGAACATAAATATTCTTGCATTCAATTTCTATAATGCTAGTATTATCCATGGTTAACAGCAGGGGGCAGTATATGATTGCACATATATTTTTTGGTTCACCTGCCTGTGTGTTGCAGAATTTAAAGCTGAATCTGCACTACAGTTAAATTCAAAATGTATTAATGGGGGTTGTTTATTATAATCATATTATTGCTGTACAAATTTAAACTCCGTCACAAGCTTAAGAAAAATCCATTATTTTTAGGAACTTTAAGGTTCCACAAGAGTGGTGCAACTCTGAGGTGTCTATTACGGTCTTGCATTGTTACTTCACAGCTCCAGGTTGGAATCTGACCCATGCTCTGTCTGTTAGCAGTTTACAGGCTCGCCTCTTGATTTAGGGTTGGTTTCCACTAAGCACTCTAGTTTCCTCAAGTGAACTGGTGACTATAAATTTGCCTGTGTTTTTGTGTGTGTCAAAGTGCCATGAAAATATCTGGTGCCACATTTATGGGCATACAGTCCTATATCTTCCAGAACTCTAACTGAAGAAGCGGTTATTAGAGAAGGATGAATGCAAAAAATTGTTTGTTTTAACCTTCTAAACTTTTTGATATAGTATATGCACTGCAGTATACACTAGTAATAAAGGTTACAGCAGTGATTTACTTTTAATGCATTTATTCATTTTTATATTGGCCAATGGCTAGACATGGTTATAAAGGATCATGCCCTGTGATGCTTCATTTGTCTAATTATTTTGAATTATACTTTCAGAAGTATGACCCTTAAATCCTTACCGCACACCGCTGCTTCAGGAAAATTGCAAAATCATATCTAGCCTTGCCTTCACCAACCATCCAGAGCACGGGTGTCCTTCAGGCTCATTAAATGCAATTTCAGTTTACCATTGTGGCCTAAAATCATTAATTCTAACGTTTACAAGGGCCGTCATTTTTACTTTGGCACATTGCTTATGGGCAAGATTAAAAATTACACCACATGCTTAAAGTTGTCCAGGGTTACTTAGTGGTGAAGTATTTGGGTGGAATACACATCATCAGAAGTATGTGCCTGTGTGAGTCTAGGTTATTTTAGCACAGCAAAGTAACCAAGGGTCCTAGACTGTCAGATATTTTCATATACAGACATTAGCTACCCACAAGAAATTCTAGCTTTAAAACCACTGGAGGGTTGGATAAAATAACTATAATGTAAATAAAACTTATATATCTTGCACAACTCCCTTCCTCTTCTTGTATACACACCACATCTCTTAGTCAAGATGAACTCTTGGGCTCATCTCTTCATCCCAGCTTCAAACAGACAGGGCATTAAAATTTCAGCGCTGTCGCGCTGCAGGATTCAGTAAGGGAGGGTATAGAGGATCAAAATTACGATTGTAACAAAAATTCTGGAAGATCTCATATTTAACCATTCACATTCCCATCCTAACACTTCCTTCATTACTGTGTAGATCTAATTACTGTGTCTAAAGTGGAAGAATAAATTAGGCCATTCCAGGGATGGGTCTCTTTCATGATTGGTCTATACCTTGAAATACTGTCCAGAAACAGCTCTTTAAAGTAGTGCAATGGGCTGCTACCAGTCCGTGTCCTAACAGATGTCTTTTTCAGTTTTAATCCCAAAACATAAAAACAGATACTTCATGCCTCTCCAGCTCTTTAATCTGTTTTTCCGTCTTGTCCATGTGTTTTTCCAGCCCCTGTCTCTTGTCACCATAGTGTGGCCCACCAAAAAAGATTCCTGGACGTTAATGTGATCCCACAGCATCCACCGTCATCTCAGTGGAACATACGCACATCTCCAGTTGGGTCTGAAAATAGTTTTTTAGCCATTTCGACCAAATCCCAAGGCAAGTCCGATACACGTAGTCAGACTACAATGTATAAACATCATCTTTACGCATCAGGACCTTTTAACTTTTAAACTGCATAAACTACACATTGTATTGCTCATGACAATTAGCCATATGTCACCAATATTTTTAATACATCCCCAGGGAGTTCAAATAATAAATAATTTGTAATTGTGCTATTTGACATTTAAGAAGCAAAATAATCCTTTATCTTCCTCAAGTCCAATTTGCATTTCCTTCTTTAAGGTCAAACAGTTGTAAATAATATATTAAAGGATCTTTTGCTCACAGTCAGAATTACCTGTCTCCGTAGAGGCACCAGCTGAGAGATGTCAAATTCAATGAGAACAAGGGGGAAACAATCAATTAATCTCACTGCATGACAGCGAGAGATTAGCGAATCCACTGGAACCTTTGTGACATTTCCACAAATCCCATAGTTAATGGAAACACTGTGAATACAATAGTGATAAAAGGGCATCTAAAGAAATCATTCTTGGCGTTTATCTTTCATTTTATACAACAATGCATGCAAA